TTGAATTAGGATCTACATGTACTTTATATTAAAACATATTGGATATCTTTGTCAAAAATTGATACGAGACATAATCAAATAATTAAATTAGTATTCTGAATAACTAAATCCTATATAATTACTCCATCGATGTATAAAACGAAACACATTTAATATTAAACAGCCACAGCTTAATTTATGCTGATATCTAGTCTCTAAGTCTTGAAGAGAGAAAACTTGTGCCTTATACCCATATTTTCAAATTTTGTTTTGTCAACCTATGTGATAAAATGAGTCATATCCGATAATAATGTTAAACTTTACATTCCTATTTAATTGAGTTTACAACCAATTGTAGTTTAATTTGTTATATTTCCCAGAATGCAATCATGGCAATTATTGAAAAAGAATAAAAAAAAAAAAGCAACGCATAGGAGACCATAGAAATAAAATTATTTAATAAGATGAGAAGATTATAAAATAGGAATCGTATTTTTTCGAATAGAAATGGATGCTAGTATGTTTTCGAACAACAACTTTATTGCATACAAACCAAAAAATTATCGAATAAAAAAGATAAAAGAATAGGAATGACAAAATTAGCAACTAGCAACCGATTGTTTTAAATATTAATGACATCGAATAGGAAACGTAAAATGGCATGTGCCTGCTTGACCTTTAGTGCAATTGAAGATATAACAAAAAAAATCACCTTTATCAATTTGCAAATAGAAAATAGATCATTTTTTAGGCTTTGATAATTTGATTCTGAAAAAAGGGGGATGATCTAGAAAAAAAATTCGAATCAGATTATTGATTTTAAACTTTTTCGAGGACTGCATTTATTTTCAAAATCTGCCAGCCCCGCCCCCCCCCTTCCTCAGATACATGCGATGTATAACAAATATGGCATCCCTGAAGAGACCGTCTGTAAAATGCTACTCGTCCCCTCAATACCTCGATGTACTGTTTAATGAATTGGGCCATATTCCGCTTGTCTTTAATTAGAAGTTTTTAGAAAAAAATTACCTTTCAAAAACTACTGTTATCAGATTTAGATTAGTAATTACCAGAAATTCTTACTGAAATGTTTTGAAGAAGAGAGAGATCGACTTACCATTCTGACAGTAATGACGAATGTTTTGTTCGCAATCTCCAGCTCCTTGAGTCCTCCTTTGTACGTCTTTGTGCTACGACCAAAGAACTCGACGTAAGTCCCACTTTGATCCTCTCCAGTTGAAAACTGGTCACATTGCAGCTGGTGGTGCTCGTCGTGACCCCTCAGGACCATAGGGGCTTGTCTTCCGGATTGATACATGTAAAATAATTTATTTTAAACTTGTATCTACATTTAATACAGTCTAAAAGTTGATTTAATAAAGATTCTGACACTATCGGGCGAGAAAAATAATGTTTTAAAAAAGTACTACACCTATTATGTATATAGGTGTAGTTATTTTTTTAAAAACATTATTTTTCTCGCCTGATCGTGTCAGAATCTTTATTAAAGCAACTTTTAGAGTGAATTTAATGTAAATACAAATTGAAAAAAAATATTTTACATTTATCAATCCGGAAGACAAGCCCCTATGCTCAGGACAAACAACATACATGCATAAAAGAACACAGTACTCTGTAATGCCTTCGAATTTGACATTCCAAAGACGCCTTTCTCCCAAAGCACTTCCTCGTGTTTTCGAAAAAAATATATGTAAATTTAATGACATATGAATCATATTATCACATTTCCTGTAATTGGAATAGCAATTTATCGAATACAAATTATAAATAATGGAATAGAAATAACGAGTAATCAAATAGGAATCACATTGTATAGAATAAGATTTTTTTTTTAGAATAAGAATAATCTCATTCATAAGGTTATGGTCCGGAAGCGATCAAATTTCAAGCCGAGACAGGCTACTGACAAATAAGTTAATTGTTACAGGGATTTCAACAATTTATTTAAAGTCAGCATTACTTACAAGCTATAATCGCTATAATATTGCTCTTTTTCACAAATATAACCTATCATTCTAATTTTTAGGCAATTGATTTTGTTATTTTTATACTGAATTTGACTAGATGGGATGTTCCACCCACCTGATCAATATATATAGGGCTCACTTTCTAGACAGCAGATTTTTAAGATTTTTGTTTTATGCCCTATTCGTTGTTTTGTAGTTATTTATGGATGCCATCGATTTTGGAAAGTATTTTCAAAAATAAAGTTGTCATGCTTGAAGATAACTGAAATCGGGCACTGATCAAATTGTACATATATACATGGGGTGATACTCTATGTTTATTTCTATTATTCTTGATAAGGGAAAAAATTGAAACCGAAATATAAATAAAGTGATATTGCATGATAAATCCCGTAAAACAACTTCCCAGCTAAAAAAAAATGTTCAAACTTTGAGGAGGGGTCAATATTCAACAGGGTCAATTCTCAACATGTTGACGTCATCAGGTGTAAGAAAAAAACTATCAAGCTGTTGAAAAATGACCCCGGGTATAAATTCAACGACTTTTGGTCTCAATATTCAACGTTGAAAAATGACCCCGCAACTCTAAATTTTATTGATGCAGTTATCAAAACAATTTTTTATCCAATCAGAATCAAGTATTTTATGGAAATTAAATGATTAAAATAACCATACGCGTTGATCAAATTATAAAACAATTTTTTATACACTGCAGTATATCAAGTATTTTGTGGCACATTTGATTGTGCCATACGCGAGTTCAAATTATAAACATCCGTGTTCACTACAGTATATAACATGTTCGTGAGCGCTCGCCAAATTTGATTGCCTCCAACAGAAATGTTCGCGAGCCCCCGAATGCTGGTGTTGGGGCTGAAGCATTTCGCTCGAGGAGGAAGTGGTATCGTTTTCTTAGAGTATATAAATACTTTGAACTGCCAAAAAATAGTTGGGTATTGATTATATCGGAATAACTTTCCTATAAGCATATTGTTATCGTCAACAAGTTCCAAAATAATAAGGATATTATTAAAATTTCTTAAGCTGACGTCACAATTGCGTTTTCTATCTTTATAGCGTCACAATATACCAATGAGGTTTACTATCACCTTTATCTTTATCTTTCTATTAGAAACTGATTACATCATAACAGATGAGAAAAAAATTATTGAATTTTGTGTTATGTTTTACACATCCGTCACTAAATGTAAAAAAAATTGTATAATAATCGTACAAAAAGTTCACGTTCATGTTGTAATATCTTAATTAAAATCATGTTTGTCGCTCCCTTTTTCAGCCTTTTTTAATATGCTGATATTAATTATATGCTGTTATTCATACAGATGATAAACCGTAAACATTTCATTAATGAAGTTCCAAGATTCTTTGACAGTCGTTGAAAAATCTATTTAAAGACCCTTAGCGTGTTTAAAAAATCTTACCTATTGAAAAAATGAAATAAACAGTATGCAAGCTTAGAAGTCAATTCAAACCAGAAGCAGAGTAAATAAGTACCTCTAAAACATTAAAGGTGGAATAAGGTGCCATAGAGATGTGAGCATTTTCCGCTTACCAGTCACGCCCGGATGTACAGCATGTGCTCCTTTTAATCATCGGGAAATAACGGAATGGTCAATCTACATTTCAGTGTATAAATTTGGGCCTCATAATCAGTAGAGCTGGGTATCGCGACTGAAAAATCGTATCGCGATATATTGCAATATTATATTTTGTATTGCAATATATCACAATAAAAATTTCTTTAATAAATTTTGCTTTTCATCAATGTCAAATGAAAACACAAACTCAAATTACATGTATTCTCGAGTTGATATTGCAACTGCCTGGTCGCGTTGTGTCGGCGCAAGTGGCAAGCTAAGTTTTTTATGGCACAACTTGACGAATCAAGTTGTAATATTCAGATTCGGCTTTAACATGAAGGGGTTTCATGTAACAGTTGTCTTTTTGTTTCTGACAGAGATATGTCTCTCGTTTCTGATCACACTTCACGTCGCTTGCCGCCATATTTTACCTTGTAAAGGGCAAATAACTCTTTTTATAACAATTTATAGCATATCGAACCCGAACCGGTATTCACATAAAAATACCGCGATACGTATTGTGAAGAAAAAAATCGGGATACACCGGTTAACCGGTAATATCGCACAGCACTAATAATCAGTATGATAAACGTCAATCACGAATTGACTTAATGATAGATTTCTTTTTTTGCTGATAAGGTCATTGCATCGACCATAGAATTTACGAGGTGATGACTTTAAACGAGACTGCTTATATTCTTGTTTCATCAGCTTGTTTGTCAATAGGAGAGGAATTCAGCAATTATGTCCTATTTCTGCTCTCGTATACCTTTTTGTTGCAGGAATTTGACTATTAAAATAAATTGTGATGTAAAATGCAACATACGGACTACGTAACAGTATCTATAACAGCGTAAGACGAAATATCAATGAAGTGTACTAGTACTCTGAATAAATTACAAAAAAAAAAATTGTGAACATGCTGGATAAAAAAAAACATTTATAAAATAGAATAAATTCTGTTAGGGAAAGTAAAAAAAAACACGTATAATGAACTCTACGGTATAAAAATCACGAATAAAGCAGTAAGCTGCTATGTTATCTACACTGGACACGACAAGGAAGAATATTACACAAAAAATGTATGAACATTTATCACGATATTTTGAAACGTTATGAAGTCATAAATAGTCTTTGTAAGTTCATGTTTGCCCTCTTAAATACTAGCTGTTAGTAAAGAAGAAATTTGAGACGTATTAAGTTGTTATACATGTTGTAACATATTGAAGTTGTGATGATAAATCCTACGTGATTTCTCAAATACTCTTTTTAAAATACACTTGAAATGTCAAATCCTATCAAATTTTGAAGCTTTTTTTCCTTGTCCACATTAAGTTTGTTACAAAAGAGCATTTTTAAATGCAAACGTGAAATTCAAATCATGAAGCATAATTACCTAAACATTTTTATACTGAAAAAATGCACAAAAATATCCACAATCTCGTTTTATTTTCGTCAGTATACAAAATTGTTACTTGTTTTTATTTCATAAATATAAAGTTCATTTGAAACTTGTGAAACATTACATATTACAAAACCATTAAGACTGCTTCTATTCAATAACACCTTCTCTTCATTATGTAAAAGTTGCACCAGAATCATAAAACTGGCAGAAAAAAGTACAAAAATTACTAAAGTCGATGTACGGAATAAACCAAAAGCTTCCTCAGTTAATACTGCATTTAAACTAACTTGTCTTTGAAACAAAATTAAAATGTAATGAACATGATGGTCAGGATCTTGATAATGACACGATGTTTTCATGTTTTTTCTGATGTTTATTATGTTAAACTTTATATCACTGATCTTCAGTTCAGCCTTCCCAAAAGCCGCATAAACCATCCGTAATCATCAAACCTAAAAAAAGAGAAACCTTTAAATTGTCATGATTCCCTTTTCCAATTGACAATCAAATCTTCCAAGCAAAAAAAAATAAAAATAAATAATAGACAGATTTTGGGCCTGTATGATACTTATGGTTTTCAAAATCATTTCAAATGATCATTGTTTTCTTTGTTCTTTAATTGTGGAAATAAAGGTAATTTGGATAATTTTCCCCCATATCATAGGGGTAAATTAACAAGCTAGGTATCATTACGTTTTTTTTTTCTCGGGGATATGTTCTCTATTTATTTTATGCTTAAAAACTTAACTTCAAAGAAACAATAAATTTATACTGTAATGTCTTAATAAATGTTAAAGGGAGAAACAAATTTTTATAATGACATTTACTTTGAAATTTTAAGAATATATTAAAAGACATGCTTTACATGTATATTCTAGAGATTGGTAAATCAGACGGGGATATTAAAGAGAGCATTAAGAAAATTTAAAATCAACATTACCCCCAAAGAATATAATATTAAAACTATGGATTTCCAAAACATCAGAGGTTTGATCAGGTGCCATGGAAGAGTGAGCATCTCCTCTCAACCTCACATTCTTCACGACAAACTAGATTTGTAAAATTACAGAAACCCCTTTTCAATAAAAATGGAACTCGAAAAATTTGAGATCTTGTGATAAGTTATCACCTAGGTTACTTTCTGTAAATCTCAGTCTTAATCTATGCATAGGTACTTTGACATCGATATTGAAAGGATGCTGGAGTTCCTCTTTAACAACATTAATGCAGTAGTTTGATACCGGGTCTCCACATAAACTTTTGTTTCAGTTGTCACTAATTGTGAACCTTTATTGTAGTTAACCTATTTTAATGTTCTTGCAAAGCAGAATTTATAAACAAATTTCATATTTAAGAAATACTGGACACATAGTGTGGCTTTCAGGCTATTTTTATTTGTCATTGGAAGTCATTGGAAATCACTAATTGTACTCTTTTATTCCCTTTTCTGATTTTATATTCTTATGAAGCAGATTTTATTCAAAAAACTTTTATATGATTCTTTTATATTCATAAAACTTATCTATTTGAGACCTTTCATCCGTCAACCATCGATATTTCTATCCATATATTATCTCAATATATCCGGGGAAAAGATACAATCTCTTTATTATTAGAATGTTTTACTGACTATATAGACTTTACATTTAGATTTTATGACAAACCAGTTGTCTTCAGATCTCCCGTTTCAAACAACTTTGATTTACGTCTTCCAATAATTCGATATTTAAGTGAGTACAACACGCTACTAACAGACAAGTTGGGGTTATAGGAATTTCAACAAATTTATTCAAAGTCAAAATTTAGTAAATTCTCTGATTCTGATGGCCACACTTGCAAATGTTACCAATCACTGGATTGTATTTCGGGTGCCATATCAATCTTGAGTCCTTGTTTTAAACTTAATCTGACTACGTTATACATGACCAATACCTACTGATAACAATGGATGACAGTGGTCGAGATGCTTTTTTCCCCTTGGCCTTATCCCACCTTTAAAATGTTGGGCAGTCTGTGTTTTATGCTTTGCTCACAGATTTGTTTTGTTTGAAGATGTTTATTGATCAATCCCTGTTTTTTTCTTCACCACTTTATTTTTTAATGCAGTTGAATTTGTATTGTGAATACTGTTGGTAAATGAAAAATAATTGAGCTTGATCCTACTGCTACTCTTAAGATAATTCTTAAATTTATACAAATGATCTGCCCTGAAACGTAAAATTGAGATTCTTTTCAGCTGGTATTTCAAATATATGTATCTGGTTTATTTAATAATGTGTTGAAAATATTATTGTAAAATAATTAAAAAGGTTAATGATCGTGAATTTATATATTTATTTTATATGTAATACGGGACAATGAAAATATGATGCAGGGGTAGCTCAGATCTACCTTGATAAGTTTTAAGCGACTCAATGCCTACAAGATTGAAATCTTTGAAAACATCATTGACGAATTTGTGTTCGCTTGAAAACCTCTTCGTCTCCGCACTACTAATAATAAACGGTTGTTTTAAAAACGAATTTTTATAGCCACCATGTGATGGACCGACTGAATTTTGAAGCTATAAATGGCGTATCTGAACAGAAAAAATAAAAATACGGGAAAAAGTGTAGATTGATATAATTTTTGTTATTATCGTTTAAATTATTTCTTAAACCGATTTTAAACTTAAGTATCCCCATGTTTCTATTGTTAAACTTTTAACTGAGTCTGATTTTAAATGCAGAGTCGGAAAATAAATCGGCAACTGTTTTAAATCTCGGATACCTATGAAACGCGATTGACTTAAATCGTGAATGTACAGGAAAGTCCTATATTTGTATAAAGTAACAAAACAAATAATTTTTTTTTTAAATTTCAGTTACTCTGAACTTATCACAAATACGACAATTATGACTTTATTTTCAAAATACCCTTATATAAAATCAATACAGTACAATTTTCAAAAAAGCTAATTGCTGACAAATTTATTCAATAGAGAAAATAAATATTGTGGAAAAGAACCCTACCCCATGCCGTATCCTCCTCCCCGATCAAATATCCTTCTTTTGTGGTGGGACCTCTTTGACCATGGTCCTAAGAAGGCCTGGGGACACGAACTCGGACACATACCCTGTCTGAAGAGAAGGTAGAGAATCAGTAAACAAATTCAGATAGAAACCTTCTGTATTCTATCTGGTGGCCGTCAAGAATATTTGAGCGCATTGATATTTTTGGGATCTAACTACAAGTACATTGTTTAAAAGCCATTTTATGCATTTGGGGGATTCATTCCTAATGTACAAACTATCCCATCTTCGATAGCCAAAGGATTCAACCTTTGGCTTGCGAAGATGGAAATATCCAGTCATATTTTACCTTTTTGCAATTTTATGATACCTGATATTGCTGTGCGCTTTTTCCAATAACAAAATGGGCCTAAGAAAGGAAATCATGACTGAGCTATGTAATGCACCCTCTGGATGTCCAGGGTTGCTGATATAATCTATGTTTAATAAAGACCAAATCATGAATAGGTTAACCAACCCAGTTACTAGTAGTTTAACGCACTGTCTTTCTATCAATTTATTTATAGCAAAAACGCACTTCAGAGAGAGATTTAAGTTTCTTCATTTCATTTTATTCAGGTAAATATATCACAGAATGTCATGATTCACATTTAAAACATTACTGATTAGCCTACTAATAGAAAAAAACACACATTATCTCAGCACTCATAATCCTACTAAAAGAAGATCTAATTGAATACACACATGTATATACATGTAATTATTATTAAATAAGTTGCATGACATACAGATGATAGATAATACCTAAGGATAGCCCATTAAGTTAAGCTCTTCACATGTTTCTTTGTATTTCCTCTTATTATTGAGTTCCTGGTTGTTAACTGCGTGGAAAAAAATGTTGGTAAATCGTCAGTGTCACTGTTCTTTTGTTGTCTAATGTCTTTAATTTCATTGTGTAGAAAACTACAATATTCTTGTTCGCTGCATTGTACTTTGTTTGTGACATAATATTTGCTGAAAATGAGCAGTATTCCATATAATTGGAATTCATGCGCTATGAAAATATAGTAGTTGATATCGGTTTATGGTTTTATTTTCATATCAAGAAGGATTTTTTTAAAAATCATTATCTATTCAAAGGTTTTCTAATTTTTACTAGGTCTTAGTGGAAAGGGACAAAAACATTAGAAATGTTATTTTTAATAAATATTTGACTTATTTCTTACAGTAATCATTACAAAAATATTATCTCAATTAATGTAAAAGATTGATAAAGAGAATAAACATACGTACGGTAGTGTTATTTTTGAACCAATATTGCTTGGAATCATGTTAAAGGTGTTTCTAGAGTTTCCCATTTGATAGGTATTTACAGATTATATGACATTTATTTCATGAAAATAAAAACTGAAAACATGAAATATATTGAGATAAATATATTGAACAGAATAAAAATGAAAACATGAGATATATTGAGATATGGAACAGTAAGCTCAAAAGTCCATCGAACATCAGATATCGAACATCGAATAAAAACTGAAAACATGAGATATATTGAGATATGGAACAGTAAGCTCAAAAGTCCATCGAACATCAGATATCGAACATCGAATAAAAACTGAAAACATGAAATATATTGAGATATCGAACAGTAAGCTCAGATATCGAACATCGAATAAAAACTGAAAACATGAGATATATTGAGATATCGAACAGTAAGCACAAAAGTCCATCGAACATCAGATATCGAACATCGAATAAAAACTGAAAACATGAGATATATTGAGATATGGAACATTAAGCTCAAAAGTCCATCGAACATCAGATATCGAACATCGAATAAAAACTGAAAACATGAGATATATTGAGATATGGAACAGTAAGCTCAAAGGTCCATTCAAACAAAATACAAATCAGTAGCTGAGCAAACGCAGACCTCTAGAACATGAGTGAGCATCCCCTGTCGACCGGTAAAACTCGCCGTGTGCTATATGACTTTATCGAAAAAAGATTGAAAATTTTTAGACAATTCCCTGTGTAATGGTGGCCTTACAACTGAATGAAAAATGTTTGCCAGTATTTGACTTAATGATACTAATAGACTGCATTTGCTAACAATCTCATTCTATCGATACTGGAACTTGCAAACTGCCGACTTTGAACGAGACTGCTGATATTCTTGTTTCAACAACTTGTTTGTGAATAAAGTACCTCGTTTAAAACGTGATCCCGTCTCTGGTGTTTTTAGGTCCGTGTTTGCTCTGCTCCAATTTCGTATTTTTTGAATGAGATGTTAGACTTGAATACTGCTCGTTATCTCCATACATTTCATGACAAAGAGCACACGGCGGGTGTGACTGATTGGCAGGGGATGCTCACTCCTCCATTACACCTGATCCCATCTCTGATGTTTTGGAAGTCCATGTTTGCTTTGCTGCTATTTTGTTTTGTTTAGTGAACTTTTGAGCTTGAATACTGTTCGTTATCTCCATATATTTCATTGAATGTGTTTATCTTCCTAACGCTTTTGCTCTTTGAAAATTGAACAGAACCTACTGGCATAAGTTTAAGCAGGCTTCTAGGAGCTGAGCATTTTGTGAGGCGAGATCAGTGGCGGGGCTGGCTATTACGTCTTCCTCCCCCGTGATAGTTCTGACACAACAGGTACACATTACAGTCCATATTAACGTCATGGCGATGGAGGGCATCATTATTTCTGAAACGAGAAAACAATAGGATTTCACGAATTATATACGAAGACATTCTTTAAAAGTATGTATAGGTGGAAGCTGATCTTGCTTGTCATTGGCTGCCAATTGATGAATGACAACATTTTACATAAAATCTATTTAAGTTTTCTAGTTCGAATTGAGGGCTTCTAATTCCTACTTCCAGGTTCCTTTAAAATGAAATAAAACCAAACCATTGTAAAGGCGTTTCTGATTTTAGTATATGTACCTTCTTTTTAACTAAAAATCATTAATCAGAAACACGTCGTTAGTGAGTACCTGATTCTCTTTTTCTGATTTTATAAGACGAGAGAGAATTGTAAACTGTTTTAATGAGGACAACCTAGGTCTAGTAAATAAAAGGATAGTGAAATCAGATTTCTTTTCCATATATGTGTGAATGTTTCCCGCAATCAAGATATATTTATTCAGATAAGGTTTCTATTCATTTATATCAAAAGTAAATCAATTAAAATAATCAAAAAAAGGACCCATGAGTGTTCAAATGTTCCATATATTAAAACAATTCTTGGCTGATGCTTTTAAATCTAAAGCTGGTTAAAGAAACAAATCTAAGTAAAACGGTTCAGCTACATCGTTATGTAAAAGATCAAGGTACAGATCAAATGCAAGTAAAAATGATAAAAAGCTAAAATCACACTGCCGCTTTTTATATTGGTGTTTGGTTAACGGCAATACTTTACACTAACATTAGATTCTTTTTCTTCAACAATGTTTCTCCAAGGTGAAATCTAGAGTGATGATCAGATCTCCCTTTTTACATTGGTTTTGTTAGATAATTAGCCCACAAAATAGCTCTTTAACCAACTTGAGAAAGAAGACACATCCTCTACAAAGGGATTTATTCTTTAAGAGACATCATCAATACACTATTTAAGTAATGTTGCTGTTGACTGTAACCTAACACTGTATGATTAGTATACCCTTATTTTGGAATCATTATCAGAAGCAGATAATTTAGGCATCTGATTAATCGAGAGAGAGTTGGTTCCTTTTACAAGGTTTGCAGATAATATTAGGTTAACTGAAAATAAAATAAAAGTACAATTTAATACCATTAGCCTTCGCTCCTCTCCGAACAAGGAATTTGTCAGCAAATTATATTTCTTAACAACTAAATGAAATACTTATATTTCCTTTTATTATATACTTAGTAATAAATACAGGATTTTTGCATATGCTATATGGCTGACGTCACAATAGCAGCTGCAGGGCTGACATGGATTTGCAGGGCTGATATCACACTCTTAGTAAATTTAACCTAAAAAAGCAGTACTTGTGAACATACACATATTTGGGGGTTACACAATTCTCTTAATTTAAACATTTTGAATGTAAGGATAATCTACCGGTAATTGACTAATAAAAGATTATTTTCAAATTACGGATCGGGGACATTTGAAATAGAAATAGAAACAAACTCAAACCATATGAGATAATAGACCGTGTACATGTATGTAAGAAGTTCGTGCATGATTATTTACTTATTTTCTTCTCAATTCAAAGTGTTCTGTATTTTATTACTAAGTATGTAATAAACATTAATAAAACATACCCTTTTCCATATCAAATCCCGTATCAGCCCTCGACCAATATCAGCCCTCGGGCCTTCGGACCTTTGGCTGATAATGGTGTCTCGGACTGATACAGGATGTGATATGGAAAAGAGTTTCTATTATTCTCTATTTAAAAAAAAAAGAACAAAATAAATAATAAAGATTTCAAGCAAACTTAAGACCACTCTTATGACAAGATTAAGAGTAAAGTTATTAATGGATAGTCATGGGAGATGTGATGAGTAAATAACAATGCAAAAACATATGTGGGTCCGACAATGGAGGACAATGGCAATTTCAAAAATGATTTTTTATCATGTATTCAACCTTAGATAGGAGACTCCATACTTATACACCAATAATTTGAATTTTATTTTGCCAGAATTATCATAGACAAACTTGAAACTGAGCATCCTGAAATTCAGTAAAGACTTGAAATAATTAACAAAAATTGTTTGACTTTCAATCAAGCTCCTCCTCGCATCGAAGAGCTCGAAAAATAGAATCTTAAAATAAGGATCGGAGTCTTGTAGATGAAATTCTAGTCGCCGTTTTAGTAAAAACAATGCACCTTCGAGGGGAAACTTTAATGTGTTCTTTAAACCATGAAAAATTGTTCTTTTAAAGTTTACAACTCACTAAATCACAGTAGCTGAAATTAAAATTGCGGTTAAAATTGCAGTATACGTACTTTTCCTATTTCTATTTTTCCTGTTCTCTATTTTGGCTTGACTTCATTTTGTGCTTTAGTTTTTCTAAGTTAGACCAACCAACTTCTGTATCTTGCATGGGGTTTTAGACCAATTGTGCAGTAGTGCAAATACTCAGTAGGAAAGATAAATATTTAAAAAAGACTCATATGTTTGCTTTCGTATTAAAGACATGTATGAATTAAAATTGTTTCTGCAATATCAGTCCCGGTACACGTGCATATTTTTATTTTTGACTGTGTTTGACCTTCGCCCATACCCGTTTGAATTTTTATCGCTTCTTTAGTGTTTCCCGATCAGGAGCATCGTGACGTATTATCTATCACTCACTGAATCTCTTTTAACAGGAATCTATTAGTACTTACATCATGTAAGAATTACATCACATACAAGTTACAATCCATTTAAAAAGATACGCAGATGTTCGTCATCTATTGCCTTATTGAAATTTACGCACAATAATATGGTGGTACCTAAAGAGACCCTCCTCATACTGCTTTCAAAACAAGGAGAATTTGCTCATCAGTAACTCTAGGGCTGTAACTATTTTTTATTTCAAGGATTTCAAGAACAACTAGCACTAGCTTATCATAGAGCTAAGATATACTCTAAATTTATTACATACATGTACAGACAAGCATCACTATGAAATACTTTTCTTTCCTTAGTTTGGACGTCTTTTATAATTTGTCCTAATTTGAACCGAAACAATGGCTTGACCACACTCAGCGTTAAGATATCTCCAACAGAGATAACACTGAATAAACAATGGGATGTGCCGCGAAAACAAGAGGATTTATCACAATTATACCCCTTTTACAAAAGCAGGACAAAAATCAGAAAATATAGAATTTTAGGTTTACAAGAAAAGAAAAATGGTTTGTAACTTACTTGAGTATGTTTTCAGCGAGATTTCTCAATCCTTAAGTCCTACAGCGGGGAATCGATCGAGTTAAATGGTTTGACACTAATATGATATAACTGTTTAATTAAACAGCGCAAATTTGATTACATTAATCTTTTTAATCATTAATAAACCATTTCATGAGGTTCTTAAAGAAATCATTTGATTTTTGTTTTCATTAACGTTCCTGTAGTCAGCTACACATTCAATAACAGTTCCATAAAGGAGAGTCTGCTTTTGTATCACGGCTGCTCCGCGGTCGAGTTTTACACTGCTCGCGTATTAATTTCTAATAACCAATCACATCACATAGCATCAAACATCAACTCCCATCAGCGTGCGAACGCGCGGACTGCCACATCAAAAATAATAGGACTTCGATTTCGATATAATTAATTATCTATGAAGGTTTTACAGGTTTATCAAATCAACATTAAAGTTTCTATCAAACTGTTGAGATTAATACTAAATATTTGTCTGTGTGCCCTCACGCACTGTGTCTAAATAATGATTAGACTATCACGTTCTTTTCTTCCAAGGTACACGGATGACGTCACCACACGACCCCGTATTTGCTCTCTTTGGGTACAGGAAATCAAACACGAAATGCAAGGAAGTTGAAAAGTCTCAAGAATCTACACCCGAAATTATCGAAGGCTGGTTTGAAATGAACATTTTCCAGAATACATGAATGTCTCTCACAATGAATGAAAAAGAATGATGTGTTAAGGACTGAATCTGCTTTCTTGGAGCTTTTTTCGAGCCCGAAATTCTTTGTCATGAGACACAATATACAGTGTATATATATATGGCAAACTGAATTAGAAAGTCAAAAAAAATATTCTGAGGTGTGATTTAGGAAAATGAAACGTGTAAAAGTTACAAATGCGTATCCAACAGATATTTAACTGTTTTATTTATCAGAATCACGACCACTTCTTTAAATGATAGTCGGGATTTCTGGACAACATTTGTCTTAAGTCTGTTGAGCTTTTTACATTGATGTTTGTGCATATATAATACATGATTCAGCATTCCTCAAGGCTATTACGAAAATTGAAATATATTCATATAATGAACAGTATTCAAGCTTAAAAGTCCATTAAACAATAATAAAATAAATCTGGAGTAGAGCAAACATTAACCTCTCAAATGTAACAGAGGGGATCAGGTGCCTTGGAGGAGTGAGAGTCCCCTGCTGACCGGTCACACCCGTCGTGTGTTCCTTACTATGACCGGAAAAAACGCAAAAAAAAAATCAAAAGACAGCTCAGTGTGTAAAAAAAAAATGGTCTAACAACAATCATTATGAAAAACGTCAGTGAGCCAACTTGAGAAATCAAATTATATTTGCTGACATTGTCATTGTATCGACCAAAGAACCTATGAAATGATAATTTTAAACGAGACTACTGATATTCTTGTTTCAAAAACTTGCTTTTCAGACATAACTTATCTCGTTTTTGAAATTGTTCAAACTAGAGCTTGCTTTTGCGCATCGAATCAACTGAGAGATATAAACCCTATGTGCAAGTGGCATATACTAGTAAGTAAGAGAAGATGATTATTTAAAAGTTAAATTCATTACTGTGGACATGAAGCTTGGTTATCAGATTACCATTAACGTCCTTTTCAAGTAAAATATCCAAAATGAAATAAATGAGAAAGATTCTATGGTATCTTTTATTTCAGCTCACTGGGATATATCGTATCGACATAAAAATGGCAATGACCATTGTTAACTGACAAAATGTCGTCGATATACATGTATCTAAAAATTATACTTTGATGTAAATTAGTTGATTCTGATTCGTCGAGAAGCAATTGTTAAAAACGCTATTACCAGCTGATTGATGAAGCCACGCCCTCCAGCGTATGGTTACAGTCAACATTGCTTGACGACGGATGATATTCTAGAAATTATGCACTCACGTTTCTCTGTTATTTGTATAATATATTTAGTATGTCATAATAAATATTGCATGTAGTTGAGTGTAAATCAAAACAAGAGGCCCAGGGGCCACACCGCTCTGCTTCATTTGAATACAATAATTGTATCTGCTTGTAATATGGCACAACGGGCCATTCGGTATTTCAATGGATTTTTGGAAGACCTGGTCTCCAAAAACCACATATTGTCGATATGAATCGCGAGCATTTTTAACCTAGACTTCAGAGTACTTGTTGGTGCAATCATAATGTTTAAAAAAAAAAATAAACAGGTAAGTTTTAAAAAAGCAGCTGTCAGTGGCACATGTTTTAAAAAGCCTGCAGATTGTTTTTGATTTATCGTTGGGAATGGTTGAAAATCAAATTGAAAATTAGAAGATATTTGGTGTGATTTGAAATTTTCCAAATGTTTTGGAATTCATAAGTATCCACATCTGATTTACACCCCTTCTCGAACTAATTGTTGCACAGTACTCCTGAAATTTCTCCTTCACTACTGTTAATATTTTAATGAGATGCAAAGAAAGAGACTTGGTAGAATATTTACTGGAACCCACTGTGTATCTTTGTTTGTTGAGATTTTAACAAAGTTTAGGAATCCGTTCTAGATATGGTAATGCAAATTTTAATCGTTTCTTCCTTAGAAAGGGAACAATTGGTATAAGTTGGATTGCCAATTAAAGATTAAATAAATGAGCCTTACAAACAAAGAAAATGGTCCATACCAGTTTTCAACGACATTGTTTACTTTGAGCCGCAACTTGGCCATTGGTCTCATTTGTACATAATGTGTATTTTAAATTAAACTTATACATATCCAAAAGACAGTGTTGGCCAAGTTGCGGCTCATATCTAATTTTTTAAAAAAGTCTCCAAACTACCGTCAAGTTAGCCACTAAATTAACAGGTCTCCGAGTGTCAACGATTGATATTATCACTTCACTCACGTGACATTCCACAGTTCAATACGCCAACGCTTTCACTGAACATTTCATTGTGTTTGTCATTTGAAGTATGTATTCGGACAGTTTCTATGAGATTTTTGCGCAAATTTTAATAATGTTCGAAGATTATATGTCTCTTATTTTACTATGAATTTTTCATTAGGAGTGTTTTGAAAGAGTTCTGGTATTGGTAGTGAGATTAGTACATAAAGGCTCACGTTGCCGCTGTATTATGTTCTGCAGGGCGATGCATCTACCCCTTCCCTAAACACTAGAATCATTTATTATTTGTGCACCATAAAACAATACAATCTCTCTCTTCACCATTTTAATTCGTAGTGTAGCATGCATCTGATTTCGAAAAAAAAAATCACATGTGCTATTGTTTACATTCCACATCCATGCGATTTAAATGTCTCCGCCTATTTGCGGGTACATTAAATTCGATTGTGGTCCCGTTCAAATTTCGGAATTTAAGGCTTATAATGTTCTTTTCAATGGCATTGTCTGTAATTATAGAAATATGTATGACAAAAAATTCAAGGCATAAATATCAAAAGCATATGTTTGCACAATAATCATAGATTAATTTAGCGATATATTGTAATGTAAAGATTAAAATGGGTAAACGAAAAGGTTCCAAATGACGTACTAAAAAGCACTCATTCTTTAATTATTGTGGAAAAAATTGAAGGAATTTAAGTTTTAGATATATCGACGACGCATTGTCAATAAACAATGGTTATTTCCATTCTTATGTCGATACGATATACAAGTGTACATGTATCCCAGTGAGCTTGAGATAAAACATACTACGAGGGTTGTCCCATAAAATCGTGGACAAAGCGTTTTTCTCGAAAAATAATGGACGTAATAAGCTGAAATTTTCAGTGAATGTTTATTTATCATATTTAAGTGAATTATAATGTTTTGGATAAAATATACATAAAAATATAGATTTTATAGTTCTTGAATGTGAACAGGGTAAGGCTCTACGGCGCACGGTCAATAAACGAAGGTTTTATAAGAGAATAGAGGAGTATTGATTTGAAACAAAAGATTTAAATAGATAAGATTAGGGTAAAAATTATCCTTATTCAATTCCTTAATTTATTTTTTTATCTTCTTAAAATTTTCAATGCATTTGGGTCAAATTTTGACAGTTTCCTGAGCATTTGAATTGGGAAAGTGGTAAACAGAACACACGAAAAATGGTGACGTTTTACGACGTTACGGCGCACCGGAGATCAGATCGCTATGATTTAGATGGTGTAATACCGCCGTATAAAACTTTAAATGAATACAGAAGAAAAAATCCCCCCAAAATTGCCAAATCTTTAATATATAAATGAAATGGGAGTTTTCTGAGTAAAGTCTTTCTTGATCGAGTCTCGAGGTAGTACAAGACTTACAGACATACTACAATTGTAATAGCTAAAGACGCTGTCAATGGTGACCGCGTCAATATAAGATTGTCTATTAGTTGAATGATGTTGGAATATTGTCCGTATCTTACTAATAAATCTTCTGAAGATCGTATATTTATGCCAGATTGGTTCCTCAATTGTTTATGGAGACTTGCGTTTGTGCTTCAAATGAAATTTCGAAATTTAAGTGGGACTTATCCAACTTTGTTTTTAGTGAAAAGATGAAACTTGAGGTATCTGATGCTGTTTTAGGCACTTTGACGTTATCATCCATGCGCCGTAAGGCGATACAATACATAATATTTAATCTCATAATTCGTTTATTTATACATATATCTATTTGAAATTTGCTATATATATTCAGAAAATATGTACTAAGAAGTAGTGAAGATTTCAGAACGCAGTGATGATTATTATTCATGCGAGACAACTTGTCCACGATTTTATGGGACAACCCTCGTACAGAGTCTGACACATCAGTTTCATATTCATACAATTTACTTGAAATGGACGTAATTGGTTATCTAACTACGAAGATTTATGATAAACGTTATGACTTAAATCGCCAACTTCAATATACCTTCATCACTGCATAAGGGTTTATATCTCTCGGTTGATTCGATACACAAGAGCATGCTCTACTTATGAACAAATTCTTAAACGAGGTATATTATTGACAGACAAATGGCTGAAACAATAATATCAGCAGTCTTGTTTAAAGTCAGCATTTCTTAAGGTCTGTGGTCGATACAATGACCTTTTCAGCAAATACAATTTTTCATTAAGTCAAATGCTGACTGACGTTTTTTTTTCATGTTTTCATTATTAGGCCATTTTATAAAAATGAATTTGCGATGGATTTTTCAGTTATTTCCCGATAATGACAAGGAGCACACGGCG